TTGACCCCAGGTCAACCTGGTGAGTTTCACAGAGCAACTGGCAACTTCGGGGGTAGGGGCTGTCACATAAAAAGGACTTAAAACAAGCAGCTAGAAGAAGGGAATGGTAGGAAACTGCTCCAGGGCTCTCAGGAATCGAGGGCAGTACCGGGGGCTGGGTGGACAGATGCACAAGAAACAGCACCAAAGAGGTTTCCTGTTCAGCAGTCAGTTGGCGAGGGGGAAGAGGATCCAGGAGGGAGTTGAAGGGAGCAAAGATGGGGTCTTGAAGGCGAGTCTCTGGAGGCTGGATCAGAAGAAAGCCCACACACTGGGCACCAGTGATGAAACACAGCTCTGGACCCCAAATTGGGGAGGTGGCGGATGGGGGTGGGTGTCACTGACTGAGGGTGGTGGGTGGAACAGCCTCACAGTAGCCATCACAGGGCCACAGGGAAATATATGGCCGCTGGGTCAGAGGGCTCCTTCCAGCCTCGATGGGAAGGCACAGTCTCACAGAGGAGGTCCATTGACGCCTGGGTGGTAGAAGGCACAGAGGTCCTCATATCGACAGTGGCCCTTTTTGGCAAAGTGTCGGCAGACAGGGCGGTTGGATTTGTCTGTAAACAAGTGAAAATTGGTAAGTTTAAAATATAAGAAAGGAAACAAATGTAACAAAAAGCAGAGATAGAGAGGGCAGTCAGATTTTCTACTCCCTGCCATTTCCAGACATTTTAGAATGGTAGAGTCACAGGCATTCTGGGAGTGATGGGTATTAAATGTGTATAGGCATTGAAAAATGGACCTCACCTTCCACAACTTGGGGGCCATCCTTGGGCGGGCAGGTATTTTTGATAAGAGACCAACTTTTGAGCCTTCGAGGATTTCTCTGCTCTTTGTGAAAGCCTCCCCTGGAAGGACCCCCATGGCCTGGTCCAGGAAAAGGAGGTTCAGTATTGGCCCCCCACCAACCACGACCATATGGGCCACACCTGGGGCCTAGGCCTCCCCGAATTGGGCCTCTGCCCCGGGGAGGAGGTGGGAGACTCAGCAGTGGTGGAATCATTGGTCCCCTTGATCCTGGAGGACCTCTGTGAAGAGCTGGAGAGAAAGAGAGAGAAAGAAAGACATGGAAAGGTGATCAGTGGCCAGCTTAATCCGGATAAGGAAGCCCTGTGTTTTTGTTTTTTTACTTTTTATTGAAGTACAATATACATACAGAAAAATACACCAGTTTTAAGTGTACAACTCAATTACCATCAAAGTAAACACACCTGTGTTTTTACCACCCAGGTGAAGGGATAGAGCCTTCTTATACTCGCAATTCCTCCCCCCCTTTGTGCCCCTCCTATCCCACTATTCCACCCTCCTCCCCAAAGGTAACCACTATCCTGACTTCTAGCACCATAGGTTAGTTTTTGCCTGTTTTTGAACTTCGCATAAATGGAATCATACAGTCTGCATTCTTTTCTGTCTGGCTCCTTTCGCTCAACATCGTGTTTGTGAGATTCATCCAGGTTGCCTGTAGCAGGAGTTCGTTCATTTTCATTGCAGTGTAGTATCCCATTGCATGCACACACAACAACTTATTTATCCATTCTACTGATGGTGGACATGTGGGTGGATTCCAGTTTGGGGCTATAACGAAAAATGCTGCTATGAACATTTTTATACATGTCTTTGTTACACATATGTATGCATTTCTGTTGAGTATAAACGTAGTAGAGGTATTGTTGGGTCCTAGGGTATATGTATGCTAAAGTTTAATGAAGTCAAACTTTCTTTTTTAAAGTGGCTGTACCAATTTACACTCCCACCGGCAATTGTTCCATAGTCTTGACAACACTTAGTATTGTCGATTTTTTTCATTTTTGCCACTCTGGAGAGGTTTTTTTTTTTAAATTGTGGAACATGTAACGTTAAATTTGTACATGTAATGTAACGTAAAATTTGCTGTCTTTTTTTTTTTTTTAAAGCAAACTTTATGCCCAACGTGGGGCTCGACCTCACAACCCTGAGATCAACAGTGGCATGCTCTACTGAATGAGCCAGCCAGGTGCCAAAGATCTGCCATCTTAACTATTTTTAAGTGCATGTTTTAGTAGTGTGAAGTAAATTCTCATTGTTGTGAAACAGATCTTTAGAACTTTTCCATCTTGCAAAACTGAAACTCTATAGCTACTAAACAACTCTCCTTCTACCCCTCCACCCAGCTCCTAGTAACCACCATTCTACTTTGCTTCTATGAATTTGACTACTTTAAATACCTCATAAGTGGAATTATACATTTGTCTTTTTTTGATTGGCTTGTTTCATTTAGCAAGATGGCTTGAAGGTTCATCCATGCTGTAGCATGTGACAAGATTCCATTCCCTTTGGGGGCTGTATAATATTCCGTTGTATGAATATATATATATATGTATTTTGTTTATTCATCTGTCAATGAACATCTGGGTTGCTTCCATTTCTTGGCTATTGTGAATAGTGCTGTTATGAATATGAGTGTGCAAGTATCTCTTCAAGATCCTGCTTTCCATTCTTTTGGACATATACCCAGAAGTGGGAATGCTGGATCATGTGGTAGTTCTAGTTCTAATTTTTTTTGAGGAAACTCCGTAGTGTTTTCCATAGAATTGCACCATTTTACAATCTCACCAACATGCACAAGGGTCTTAAGTGTTATGTTTTCGTCTTGTGATTATTTAACAACTAATGATACTGAGTTCTTGTTCACATGTTCTTAGTCATTTAGATCTGTTTTTGAGAGAGTTCTGATACTTTGCCCATTTTTCTAACAGGTTGTCTAAAAGAGTCCTGTGTATATCCTAGATACAAGCTCTTTATCGGTTCTATTTATTGCAAATATTTTCTATTCTATGACTTCCTATTAATTTCTTAATGGTGTCATTTGATTAATAAAAGTTTAATGTAGTTCAGTTTATCAATCTTTATAATGTTTCTGGTCTGTTTAGGAACTCCTATCTCCTCTAAGACCATGAAAATATTTTTCTTTACCTTTAACACTTAGATCTACAGTTCACTTGGAGTTGATGTTTACATACAATATGAATAGGAGGTCAGAATTCATCCCCCCCCCCCGTGAATATCCAATTAATCCAGCATCATTTACTGAAATGACCACTATTTCAGCTCCATCTTCATCATAAATGAGGTGTCTACGTATGTGCAGGCCTGTTACTGGACTTTTTGTACCGGGCTATTGACTTTTAGGTCTGTTGTTGTGCCAGTACCACACCATAGCTAATATAGGTCTACAGTAAATAGTGATATTCAGGGTAAGTCCTCCTACTTCAAGATTGTATTTGCAGTCTCTCAGCCTGATCCTTTGCATTTCCATGTAATAACACAGAATGCTTATTTCCATTATAGGGATTGTAACTGGAAATGCATTGAATCTATAGATCATTTTGGGAATAAGTGACATTTGTATAACATTGAGCTTTCCAATCTGTGAATATATAACATCTCTCCATTCATTTCTGTACAGAATCCCTGATCTTCTGGTTTTAAGTCCTCCTGGGTTTTAGTCCTTCCGTTGCTCCCTTCTCCAGGACCTAATCAAAGATTCAGAGCCCCCTCATCCTCACCTGACTTGGGGTCACCAGGCTTTCCATTGGCCATGGGGGGAGGGCCCAGAAGGCTGGGTGGTCCTAAGAGTAGATATGAAAGTATAGTCATCAGAATGAACTAACGTACCGATGATCCTCTTATGTTTTTTTACTACTCATTTCTTAATTCAATCAGTAAAGCCAGATACATTCTCAGCAGTGTTACAAGTTCTCAGGCAAATCTCCCTGCCCTTTCCTCAAAAAAGCGTTTCTAGTTTGAAAAAAAAAAAAAGATAATGCGGGAAGGGTATCTTTCTCTTTCCCTTACATAGTTGCTACCCAAAACATCCCAGGTGATTCCAGAAGTAATCCAATCCCTCTCTTTAACTGCTGGCCAATCAGAACGATCTCCCCCGCCCCAGAGTAGTTTAAGGAAGGCAGCACTTCTACCTTCCCCGTGCAAGTCTGGTAACAAATTGTTATCCTAGTCATCGCAATCTGCAACCTCTCTAGGGCCCCCTCTCCCTTGGCGTTCTGCGACTGCGCACACGAGCTCTTTATCCTCTCCTCCCCTGCCTTCTTCAGAAAGGTTAGAGGCCGGATCGAAGTTGAGGGGTCAAGGAAGAGAACTCGCTCAGGGTTCCACACCGGACAGCCTCCTATCCCCGCCCCAGCGCTTGCGCCCTTCCTCCTTCCGTTAGAGCCCCCTCCCCCGCACCTTTTCAGACCTTAACCCCTCGCCTCGGCCAGCTGACAGGCATGTGCACACCCCTCCCGAGCTCCTCACCGATAGGACTCCCATCCTCCTCGTCTCCAGTCTCTTCCCGCTCTGGCAGCGGGGGCTGCTGCGGTGGCGGCGGCTGCTGCTGATTCTGCTTCTTTCGTTTCGGCATCGTGGTTGCGGCAATGGCTGCAGCGGGATTTGGAGGGCAGTGAGGAAGGGGCACGCTGGGATTCTATTTCCGCTTCCGGGGGGTGGATGGAAAGGCTGAGGCTCCCGCCATTTCACTTCCGGAAGGCTCCGAGGAGCTTTTGTGCGGCTCATTCTCTCATAAAACGCCTCCCTCGGTCTCTGCCAGGCACAGAGGCAGTCTCAAGCCTTCTTTTTGTTGCGTTCCTATAAATGCTTTGAAGAATTCCTCTCTTATCCCCTCTCTGAAAAAAAACCCCACAACCGGCTCCTCATTGTGTGCCATAGAGTCCATAGGCTCTCGGGCCAGAAGACCTGAGAGAGCTGTCGCCCCTTAAGATCGCCACATCCGGTTCCCGGTTACTATGGTAACGGCTGCAGTCACAACTTCATGCCCTCTGACCTCTCTCCAAAAATCCTTGTCCCACCTGGATTTCCTTCCTCGCCTGCGCTTGCCTTTATGATCTGTAAACCTGCTCCTTATCGCTCCCACAAGGAATTTGGGTCCCAGGACTCTTCAGACCGCTACCCGCCCCTCGAGACGTCTGACCCCGCCCCCAGCGTAGACGAGCAACTGGACTTCATTCCCGGGACGCGCAGTCCCGTCTTTCCATTAGGGTCAAGCCCGGGGTGGGGGTGGGTAGAGTAGGTTCAGCGCATCCCCGCTCCTCTTTCTCCCAGGTGGTAGGACCCGCCCTCCGCTCCACCGCCCCCTCCAGGTGAGTGGTAGCTTCCCCCCCAGCGCGAAAGGTAGTGGTGACACACGTTCCCCCCTCCTCCGAACGCGAGTTGGTAGCGTCCGTGACGAAGTTAGCTTGATCCTCCCACGCGCGCCTCCTTCCTCGCAGCTGCTGCGCCCTCTCCGTGCCACTGACTCTCACGTGCGGGTAGCCCACCCCGCATCCTCGTCTCGCCTCGCTCCCAGAAGGAAGTGGCCGTATTTCCTTCGCCTTCACCCAGGCAACGGGGGGGCAAATCGGCCAGGCCCGCCCGCTGACGTCACCTCATAGCCCCGCCCCTCTAGGGTCCCAGGCCTTTGCGGCGGGGGTTGCCCGGGGGGGTGGGGGGGGAGTCAGTTGAGGCGGCGGGAGCTCGGCGGCGGGTGGGCCAGGTGACTGGTCCGGGCCATGCCGAGAAAGAAGCCCTTCAGCGTGAAGCAAAAGAAGAAGCAGTTGCAGGACAAGCGGGAGCGGAAGCGAGGTCAGTGCGGTAGCGAGGGGAGGGGGCGGGGCTCGGGCTCCCGCACCTCTGGAAGGAGGGGTGTGCCCGCCGCATCCCTGCGGGGCATAGGAGTGGGTGTTGGCCGCGTGCCGACGATCGGGGTTCTCTCACCCCAGTCTCCCTGGAAGGGGTGGGAAAGGATGGAGAATTGGGGGAGGGGAATCCCTCCAGCTCGAACGGGGCGCCATCCCCGCAAGTCCCTGGAGGAGGAATGACTCCCCCCCAACGCACATCCGGTAGGGTCTTGGGCAGGATGGTGGAAGGATCGGGCCTCAACAGAAGTGGGGTGGTGTGAGGGGAAGCACACAGACCGGGGAGGGGGTCTTACGGCCCCTTAGAGCCGTCCCATATTGGCGTCACCGCCTCCTCCCCGCAGGGCTTCAAGATGGGCTGCGATCCAGTTCCAACAGCCGCAGCGGGAGCCGGGAGCGGCGGGAGGAGCAGACCGACACCTCGGACGGGGAATCTGTGACCCATCAAATCCGCAGGCTCAACCAGCAGCCTTCCCAGGGGCTGGGTCCTCGAAGCTATGACCCAAATCGGTGAGAGCAGGCAGGGGGCGCTGGCCGGGGCATCCCCGCCTACCCGGAAGTGAGAGTGTTGGGGGGAAAAGCTGGCTGCTGCTGGTGGAGGAGGAGGGACTGGGATGCCGAGTCTCCGCAGGCAGCTGGCTCACTGGAGCGGGCCACAATCCTCCCTACCGGAGGGGCTGGAGAGAGTTCTTGGCTTTTAAAAGGGCGAGGTTTAGGGGAAGGCCGAGTGTTGCGGGAGAGGTACTGGAGGGAGAGTCGACTGAGAGGAGACTTGAAAACTCTGGAGAGAAAGCTCTACGGAGGGGAGTTTGTGGCCACGGGATTGCAAGAAATGCTGGGTCCCTGTCCCATTAGATACCGGCTGCATTTTGAGCGAGATAGCCGCGAGGAGGTGGAAAGGAGAAAGAGGGCAGCCCGCGAGCAAGTGCTACAGCCGGGCGGTGCTGAGCTGCTGGAGCTGGACATCCGGGAGGTCTATCAGCCTGGCTCAGGTGAGAGCTCAACACCTGGATGTTTGGGAGAGGCAATGGGCTGGGGGAAGGAGGTTGGAGGAGGAAAAGCTGACTGTGAGGGGTGAGAGGTCTGGGATCCACTCTTGAGCCCTGAAACTATTCTCAGACTTACTTGGACTTTTTCTTAACTTCCCAGTCCTGGACTTTCCCCGACGTCCTCCTTGGAGCTATGAGATGTCCAAAGAGCAGCTAATGAGCCAGGAGGAACGGAGCTTCCAGGAGTATCTTGGGAAGATTCATGGGGCTTACACCTCTGAGAAACTCAGCTACTTTGAACATAATCTGGAGGTGAGAATGGAATGGGGACAGGAGTTGGGCATAGTGACCTTTGGTCCAGTTGGTCTGGGGTCAGTCAGGAGAGGAATTCTGGACTTAGGTACTCTTCCACTGATCTTGTCTTTTCAGACATGGAGGCAGCTGTGGCGTGTGTTGGAGATGTCTGACATTATTCTGCTTATCACTGATACCCGACATCCAGTGAGTACTCGGGATGAGGGTGACAAGGGGGATGGGGGAGGAAGATTCTTATGGGGTAAAGGGCAGAGGCAGGAGTTGGGAGATGGAGAGGTATCTTTCTTTTTTAGTCTTCTCTACCTCATAGTGATGTCTGCAGTGAGGAACTCAGTCCTTCATTCATCAGTGTCACAGCTTGTCACTCCTGCTCTGGTTAACAGACTCTCTTCTTTACTTCCTTTGATAAAGAACTAGGTATCCCGTTTTCATTCCACCACAGCTAAACCAATAGAAAGTTCTAGTGTGGTGCTCCCCGGGATTCTGTGAAGGCAGCTGGGGGCTTCCCCTGCCCCGCCACATCAGTCACTACAGAGCTCAGCCTTACATGGAAGGCTAGGATAGTGGTTAAGGCTCTAAACTTGGCTGCTGGGCAACCCTTGTGTTAACCTGGCTTTGCCACTCCGTTGCTGTCCTCTAGTGGGAAAAAGAGAGGTCTCTGGGGACATTTAGGTTGGAAGTCCTTAACGGCACGTATACATGCCCTCGTGCACATACAGACATGTGTGTGCTCACACGCACTCACACAGCCACACATGCTCATCACAAGCCTGCAGACATGTGCATGAGTATATGTGCATGTATATACATGCAGATCATTGTGTGCACACAAAAACAGGTATTAAGTTTTATCCCAACCCCCACCCCCATGCCTGACCCCAACCTTTACGCCAGTGTGCTAGGTATCACTGTTTCCTTGTCCTGTTTTTGGCTCATTTCTATCCCTAATCAGGACCTGTAAGAAGTCCCCCAGAGACAGATGCACAGGTATTGCTTACTGCTACTTTATTTTTCTAGTTCAGTTTTGCTGATTTACCCTTTTGCCCCAGAATCCGCTACCACCAGAGTCTTGTCTCTGAGTGGTGCCTGGTGAGTGGGGAGCTGGAGGCAGAGAACTCTGCGTTGACCTCTGATTGCTCCCTCCTCTCACCAACCCTGTCCCAGGTTGTGAATTTCCCACCAGCACTTTACGAGTACGTGACTGGAGAACTTGGGTTGGCCTTGATCTTGGTCCTGAACAAGGTGGATCTAGCCCCACCGGCTCTCGTGGTTGCCTGGAAGCATTATTTTCACCAACACTATCCCCAGCTCCACATAGTCCTTTTTACCTCTTTCCCTCGGGACCCCCGCACCCCAGAGGACCCCAGTAGCGGTGAGTGGGCAATGAAGAAGGCAGCATGGGAGAGGTGGGGTGGCAGGGGACAACAGGGAGAACAGAGAGCCTCGTTGACAAAGGAGTACCTGATCTTGGGCCTAAGGGTGGTGGGTGAGATGGGGTGCATAAGCCCATGCACTAACACTTGTGCCCTCTGATCTCAGTTTTGAAGAAGAGTCGGAGGCGGGGGAGAGGTTGGACTCGGGCCCTGGGGCCAGAGCAGTTGCTGAGAGCCTGTGAAGCCATCACTGCAGGGAAAGGTATATACTCTTAGAGGGGAGCTGTGGAAGGATTTGGGGGTGACCCAAGGCCTGGAGTCATTTTGCTTACCTTCCCTGAAGTTCGTCCTTTCTATTGTGGATGTAGGTGAGCAGCCAGGGGGAGGGATAGAAGAGGGAGCAAACTGACTTGGTGGCAACAAAGGCAGCAGATAGGCAGGAGCCCCAGTGGTCTGTTGCCTTCAGTCTTCCCAGTATTTTTCTGGAACTCAAAAATTCACATGATTTCTGGGTGGGGTCAAGTGAAGGCTAGGGAGAATCTGTCATGTAGGTTGGCACTTTCCAACTCCAGAGGGTGCCAGTTAGATCAGCTGTGCAGTGCATAGAACTCTATGGGCCCTGGGGAGAACCTTCCTCATCTTCTCCTTCCCTGACAGTGGATTTGAGCAGCTGGCGGGAGAAGATTGCCCGAGATGTGGCAGGGGCCACCTGGGGAAATGGCTCTGGGGAGGAGGAGGAAGAGGAGGATGGACCTGCAGTCCTGGTGGAGCAGCAGACTGACTCAGCGATGGAGCCGACCGGCCCAACCCGGGAGCGCTACAAAGATGGGGTGGTGACCATCGGCTGTGTGGGTAAGGAAGTGGTGGCCCATGCATGGCGGCCTCCTCTGAAGTACAGAATTTCAGAAAAGGAAAGTGTCGGCAATAGTGGAAAGATCCTGGCACCCTTGAGTTAAATTCGGGCTTTTCTTAGCTCTATACTGATTTTGAGCAAGTTATTTACTCACTCTGAGTCTTAGTTATTTTGATTTTTAGAATGAGGATGCTGATACCCAATTAGAAGAACAGATGTGAGGAATGAAGAGAATAGCATAGGGATAGCCTATGATGACTGACCAATAGTGTTAATAGTAATAATCACAATTGTTAAAATTTAATATTTACATGGTGCTTACCAAGTACCAGGCGTTGTTCTAAATGACATATGTCTTAACTGTTCCATGGTATTCATCAATTTGTAGTAGAGAAATCACTAAGTCCTAGCAGGAGCTTAGTTAGCATTAGTATCTTTCTGAGACTTATCCCTTTAAGTCTATTGTCAAGGAGAATCTTCCCTGAATTAAGAGCCTTGTCCCTGCTCTTGGTGGGGAAGAAAGGAATGTATGATTAGGGCCCAGGGCCTCTTTCCTTTGTTGGTGGGAGAGGTAAGAAGGGACTTGGGCAAAGTTGTGGCATCTGAGGTGATAGGGGAATCAAATTAAGGAGAGTAGAGTAGTTAGTTGGGCTCCTTGGAAACGCTCCTGACTTTAGTCTTCTTTTTGTCCTGGGAACAACCTACCTGACTGCTGACAGATGGCACCCTTTCCAGTCCTTTCCTCCTGCTTCTCCCTGGCAAGGGTGGGAGGTGGGGTGTCCACTCTTTCAAGCATCTGCAGTAATTTCTCTGTGTTCAGTTATGTAAGGGAGAGCATTTTCTGTGGCACAGGCAGTCCTGAGCTTAGATTTACTTCTAGTTATTGGTAAATATTTACTAAGTGCCAGGGGGTGTTCCAGGAGCACATTAAGCTGCCATGAAAGTCCCTACTATCACAGAGCTTATTGCCTTGGAAGTGAATTGATTCATGATTTGAAATCATATTATTTAGGGGCAATGAAAGGGAGTAGAGAGTGACCTAGAGAGGAGGGTTCTCATGGAAAGCCCCCTCTGGGAAGAACCCGGGATGTTGAGAGGAAGTAGCCATTTGGAGATAGGGGCAAAGGGCCTTCCAGGCCAAGGGATCAGTAAATGAAAAGATCTTGATGTGGGAGCGACCTTGGTGATTATGGGACAAGCCAGAGTGTCAGAGCATTGGGAGATGGGAGCCATGGGAATAAGTAAGATGGAGAAGAGGGGCAGGACTTGGGAGTTCATGGTCTGTGAAAGGGGCTGGCTGTAGAGCTGGGTCATGGTATCTCAGTTGGGTAAGAAGGGAAGTGAGGACATGAGTCCTGTATGGAATAGTGAAGATTTATTGGAACTGAGGAACAGAATAAGTGAGCTGGAATGATAGGATATCAGGGCAGAGAGTGGTGCTTGCAGTTGAGATTTTGGAGGTGTGAATTGACCAGATCCAGGGTATGACCATGGCAGTGGGTAGTTGGAAATGACCTTTGGAAGATAGATGCTGGCACTGAGAGGCCAGGGTGCTAAACAGGCCACCTGTGCAGATACCAAAGTCACCCAGAGTGATGGAGGTGGTCCTGAAGAGAGTGGCAGTGAGCCTCAAGGGTTTCCAGTCTTTTCCCTGGAGAAGTTCCGATGATTATGAGCTGCATGTCTCACTTGTATTGGGCATTTAGTGTACTGCAGGCACTGAACCACACAGTCGTATTTAATCCTGACCACTTTGAGCTTGAAGGTATCTGCACTTGTAAAATGAGGAAACAGAGGCTCAGAAAATGAAGTAAATTGCTTTGAGGTTACAAAACTGATAAGTGGAGAGGCCAGGATTCAGCCCTGGTGGCCCAGAGTCTGATTTGAAATTTGCAGGGTTATACTGCTTCCTTAATTTCTGTGCCTTACTTCCCTTTTTATCTATGGCTACAGTACTGCATCCTGCCTGTCGCAGAGTAGGGAACTGTCCAATGTTAATTTTTCTTGCCTTCCTTAGGTTTCCCCAATGTGGGCAAGTCCTCTCTGATCAACGGGCTGGTGGGCAGGAAGGTTGTGAGTGTCTCCAGAACTCCTGGCCACACCAGATATTTTCAGACCTACTTTCTCACCCCCTCTGTGAAGCTCTGTGACTGCCCTGGCCTCATATTCCCATCCCTTCTGCCCAGGCAGTTACAGGTATGAGGGCAGAGGGGGCAGGGAGGGAGAAGAGGCAGGAGGTCAGGAACAGACTGAGCATTTTGTTTCCCCTCAGGTTCTGGCAGGGATCTACCCCATTGCCCAAATCCAGGAGCCATACACTGCCGTGGGCTACCTGGCCTCTCGAATCCCTGTGCAGGTCCTGCTCCGCCTGCGCCACCCAGAGGCCAAGGATCCCTCAGCGGAACACCCCTGGTGTGCCTGGGACATCTGTGAAGGTGGGCTCCATGTTCCTGGTTTCCCCTCCCCTTACCCTGAACCCTGCCCTATCTCCTCACCGCTCCTCAGAGGTTCTGCCATTGGTGAAGCACCTGGCTACTCATGCCTGGATTTCTGTCGGGGGGCCTGCAAGATCAGTGGCCTGGGATGTTCTTGGAGAAAACTGGAAGAGCTGTGTTATGGGAATGGGGTGGTGGTGACTGGGCCCAGTTAATGGCTTCCCTCCCCACTATTGTCTTCTCTCTCTCCAGCCTGGGCAGAGAAGCGTGGTTATAAGACAGCTAAGGCAGCGCGGAACGATGTGTACAGAGCAGCCAATAGCCTCCTACGGCTGGCACTGGACGGCCGCCTCAGCCTGTGTTTTCATCCCCCGGGCTACAGTGAACAGAAAGGTCAGACAGCCAGTGTTCTTGTGCTATACTGTAGGCAGAAGGGTGTGGGCTTTGTGGCCACACAGAACGAGGGTCAGGCCTGGATTCTGTACCTGTCGGCCAACTCTGTGTTCCTAAGCGTCTTTGAGACAGTTTCCTGATCCGCAAAGGCAGGGTGGTAGTTGCCCCCTGGTCAGGCGGCGGTGGAGAGCTCATGTAGGCGGAGCTGCTGCTCAGTGCCTAGCACCTGGGAGTCTGAATGAATGAATGGGCGAATGCTGGCGGCTGCAAAACCAATTGTTACTCTTAGTCTTTGCCTCTGCCCCACCTTTCTTTGGCTTTAGTTCCTTGCTTAAAACTTTCCTTTCTTGTTTTGGTTCCCCAGGCACCTGGGAGTCCCATCCGGAGACCACAGAGCTGGTGGTTTTGCAGGGCAGGGTGGGGCCAGCAGGTGACGAGGAGGAGGAGGAAGAAGAAGAGCTGAGCAGCTCCTGTGAGGAGGAGGGAGAGGAGGACCGGGATGCGGATGAGGAGGGGGAAGGGGATGAGGACACCCCAACTTCAGCTCCAGGGTCCAGCCTGGCTGCCCGAAACCCTTATGCCCTACTGGGAGAGGACGAGTGCTGAGTCCCTACCCTGCTCCATCTGCTCCACCCAGCGTCTCTGCTTTTGGACTGACCTGGGGGTACCTCCCCTCTGCTGCCCCAGTTGTGAATAAAGATTGTCTGCTTTGTAGCCCCTTCCCCGAATGGACTGAGGTGAGAGCGGCTGTTTTAGCCACCAGCTGTGGGACGCCTCTCTCCTCTTCTTTCTTTCCCCTCTTGGGGAAGGAAGAGTTCTCTTAGGGGTTAATTCACTGGGTTGTAAGGCCCTGAAATCCACTGTCTCTGCTCACTCTCCCACTCTGCACCGTATGAATCCCATTATCAACATGGGGAGGGTAAGTCACTTCAGGCTTTGAGGCCTGGTCTGAATCCAACCCTCTTTCGGAGTTTGTGCCATTCCTTCTCTCTTGTGTGCCCCCCTGCTGCTAGACCTGGGTCTACTAAGGTCTACTAGTAAGGAGCTTTTTGGAGCAGAAGTGATAAGAGGTGTGACAAGCTGATGTCTCCGTGTGAGCTTCTTATAGGATTTATTCAAATTCAACAAATACTTATCAAGGACCAACTGTGTGTCTGGATCTCTGCTAAGCACTGAGCATATAAAGATGCGCAGACAGGGCCTGACCTAAATGTGCATGCAGCCTGGCCATGATTAAGACCCCATTCTCAGGCACCCAAGAAGGGTGTGTGATATTCTCCAAATCTTTGGGGCTCATACACTATAATTCTAGGACTTCCTGTTGATAGAAATTTTTAGTTAAGACAATGTTTGTGAAAATGGTGATTAAATGTGTACAAGTAGCATCTTAACTACTGGCAAACAACTAGTGTGCACATTTATGATTTAAGCAGACCAGCCCCTTAAGTACAGTGTTAAGCTTTATTATTTAAAGGCCCACATGCACTAAAGGTCTATGAGATTCATAGGAGAGGGCACAGAGCCAGTGGTTTGTTTTTTGTTGGTTTTTTTTTTAAGATTTTATTTATTTATTCGACAGAGAGAGAGCGAGAGAGGGAACACAAGCAAGGGGAGTGGGAGAGGGAGAAGCAGGCTTCCCACTGAGCAGGGAGCCCGATACGGGGCTCGATCCCAGGACCCTGGGATCATGACCTGAGCCGAAGGCAGACGCTTAACCGACTGAGCCACTCAGGCGCCCTTTGTTTTTGTTTTTAAAGGTTTTATTTATTTATTTGACAGACACAGCGAGAGAGGGAACACAAGCAGGGGGAGTGGGAGAGGGAGAAGCAGGCTTCCAGCAGAGCAGGGAGCCCGATGCGGGGTCGATCCCGGGACCCTGGGATCATGACCTGAGCCGAAGGCAGAAACTTAACGACTGAGCCACCCAAGCGCCCCGAGCTGGTGTTTTGAATCCCAGTTAGCCTGGTTGGGGACAGAGCAAAGATGATCAGTGCAGGGTCTGAGCTAGAACTCAGCAGGTAGCCAAAGCTATCTTATGGAGTCCTGTGCATCTCAGCAGCAGTCAGTTATCTTGTGAGTCAGGGCAACTGAAGACTTTCTGTACTTCTTTGTTAAGCAGGCAACTGGACTCCTAGACTTAATTGTTGGAGAAAAGGGAGAATGGGATTTGTTTTGTTGGTTGCCACAGTGTTGTCTGAGTTAAGTGGTAGCAAAAAGTATTTTCAACAGGTTGACAAACCTATACTGTTAGGTGCAGGGGTGAGGAGAAGATGGAGTACCAGATTCCTTCTCTTCACTCTAAAGCATCCCCTGCAGGATCTGGGTCCCTGGGTCCTTTTTTTTTTTAAGAATTTTATTTTTTATTATTTTTTTAAGATTATTTATTTATTTGAGAGAGAGAGAATGAGAGACGGCATGAGAGGGAGGAGGGTCAGAGGGAGAAGCAGACTCCCTGCTGAGCAGGGAGCCCGACGCGGGGCTCGATCCCAGGACTCCAGGATCATGACCTGAGCTGAAGGCAGTCGCTTAACGAACTGAGCCACCCAGGGCAGTTTTTTGTAATGCCAGTAGAAACCTGGTCAATCCAGGAGTGAAGGAAAGGAAGAACATTTAGGAGAGGCTGACCTGTTTGGCTTTTGAGTCCTGGTCACATATCCCCAAGCTCACCGTCTGTTGGTCCCAGTGAAGACATAAGTCTTGGAATTTCTAGTCCAGTGCAAAGATAAAATACCATCAGCATGTGAATGTGCTTGAAGGTTACTTAAAATGTGTGGTAAAAGAAAAAGTCCCAGTTAGAGAAAAGCCCACCTATCTCCCATCTTGGGCTCTTGAGCCTCGAGGCTGACTCTTCTGATGGAAGAAAGGAGCTAAGGCTCAGCTTCCTCTGAGGGTTCATGATGTTTAGGGAAGCAGAGGATTTATCCGCTTCTAGAGGTAGGGACATTGGAGTGTTCTCAAGAAATGGAGGAAAGGGAGAAAATCAGAATTCTACCTGTCCCTTCCCCACCTCCTCTGCAATGCTGCCTCTCTGCACTTTTATCTCTTTGGTGTGTCATGAATTTACCAGGGCTATTGGGAGAGTCTGGGTGTGGGGATGAAAAGGTGAGACCTGGAGCTGAAGGGGAAGCTGAAGAGTGGGGATTTTTTTTTTAAGATTTTACTATTTATTTTTTTAAATTTTTCATTTATTTTTCATTTATTTATTTTTTGCTTATTTGTCAGGGAGAGAGAGTGAGAGAGAGATATATCACAAGGAGGGGGAGCGGCAGGCAGAGGGAGAAGCAGGCTCCTGCTGAGCAAGGAGCCCAATGTGGGATTTGATCCCAGGACCCTGGGATCATGACCTGAGCCGAAGACAGATGCTTAACCGACTGAGCCACCCTGGCGCCCCAAGAGGGGGGATTTTTATGCTGAACACCTAGAAGGAGGTAACATCCCCATGGGCTATACTGTAAATGATTCTTTCCAGGCACCTGTCAGTGACTCACTCATTGTAGCAAAGAAAGACTGGGAAAAGAACTATCTTAGCATCAAACAGATTTCAGAGAAGGACAAATAATACCCCAATAACAGTACCTGGGGCTAAGAGTTGAAACTAAAAGGGACAAAGGAAATCAGGGGTCCAATCTCCCTTCCATGCTGAAATACCCAAGACCCCTGTCCTCACATTCCTTGGCCAATGTCACATCTACTATGAGGATACTTGACCATGGAGGTCTGGGGCCCTGGCAGTTCCCATTGCTTCTGGCCAGTGTCTGTCTCTCTCAAAGTTTATTTATTTATGCAGTCTCTACACCCAATGTGGGGCTTGAACTCATGACCCTGAGATCAAGAGCCACATGCTCTCCCGACTAAGCCAGCCAGGCACCTCTCTGGTCAGTCTATTGATGGAGAGAACTCAGTGCTTCTCTCATTCATACTGGCATTCTGTTTAGACACTGAGAAACTTCCTTCCAGGAGTCCCTGTTTTCAGACTGAGTTTTTTTTAAGATTTTATTTATTTGAGACTTAGAAGAGAGAGCACTAGTGGGTTGGGGGTGGTAGGAGCAGATAGAGAGAGAGGGAGAAGCAGACTCCTCACTGAGCAGGGAGCCCGACGAGGGGCTCAATCCCAGAATCCTGGGATCATGATCTGAGCCAAAGGCAGACGCATAACTAACTGAGCCACCTAGGCGCCACATCAGACTGAGTTCTAATCCTGCTTCTGGGACAATGTGCAGTCTAGGGTTGTTCAATTATCTGGGCCTCTGTTTCTTAATTTTTTATGATCACTGATATAATCAACAAAAGTTGGTTGAAAACAATATGTGCCAGGCATGCTGAGTTTTCTGGAACAAAGAAATTGAATAAGGCATAGACTGTACCCTCAAGGACTAAAACAGCTAGATACTAATAATATAATAATTCTATAGCACTATGTAAATTAATTACATGTGTCCATTGAACTTCATAACTAAGCTGGCTAGAACTATAATCACCCCAAGGATTCATTCACCCACTGAACATTTGTTGAGCAATCACTATCTGCCAGTTGCTGCTAAGTGGTAAGTGATGTAGAAGTGGTCCTTTGTGGGGGCGCCTGGGTGGCTCATTTGTTAAGCATCTGCCTTCGGCTCAGGTCATGATCCCAGAGTCCTGGGATTGAGCCCCGCATCGGGCTCCCTGCTCTGCAGGAAGCCTGCTTCTCCCTCTCCCATGCCACCTGCTTGTGTTCCCTCTCTTGCTGTGTGTCTCGGTCAAATAAATAAATAAAATCTTAAAAAAAAAAAAAGTGGTCCTTTGTGGGGCTCACAATTTATTGGAGAATGGAAACAAATAGACAATTACCAAAAAAGTATAATAAATGCTGTGAGAAGGGTCATATAGGGTCCCATGGGTTAGTGGTGGCTCCATGGGGGTGGGGGTTGTCTTGGGATGCTTATCAGCAAGAAGTGGTGGACAGGGCTGGAAGCTGTGTTTGTATAGCAAGTTATGTAAGACTGAAAAAGTCGGTAGTCTATGGTAAATAATTGCTATGAAGATACTCAACAGGGGCAGCTAAACCAGTCTGGGTGAGTCAAAAGAAGCCTAGAGGAACAGAGGTCCAAGCCAAGGCCTGAAGACTGATTAGGAGTTAGCCAGGCATTGAGAGGGCAAGAGCATTCCAGAGGGGACAGCCAAGGTTAAGGAACAAGCACATGACAAACTGGGAAGACCAATGTATTCAGCGTGACTTAGGGGCTTATTGTACAAGGGAGAGGTGGGGAAAGGTGAAGCAGGAGAGGGAGGCTTGGGCCTTGTCAGCCATGCTAAAGAGGGAGGCTTTATCCAGAGGAATAGTGAAGAACTTTAAGCCTAAAAACAAGGAGAGATTTGTGACTTAGATCACTTTGCAGTATAGAGACTGGCTTGGAAAGGGGAGAGAGATCCAAGGCTTTTGCAGTGATCCCAGGGGAAGAGAATGGAAACTGGAATTAAGGCAGTGGCTGATGGAAGAGAAGTAGTTTTTTTTTTTTTTTTTTTTTAAGATTTTATTTATTGGGGCGCCTGGGTGGCTCAGTTGGTTAAGCGACTGCCTTCGGCTCAGGTCATGATCCTGGAGTCCCGGGATCGAGTCCCGCATCGGGCTCCTTGCTCAGCAGGGAGTCTGCTTCTCCCTCTGACCCTCCCCCCTCTCATGCTCTCTCTCTCTGTATCTCATTCTCTCTCAAATAAATAAATAAAATCTTTAAAAAAAAAAAGATTTTATTTATTTATTTGACAGAGAGAGAGGGAACACAAGCAGGGGGAACAGCAGAGGGAGAGGGAGAAGCAGGCTTCCCGCAGAGCAAGGAGCCCGATGTGGGGCTCGATCCCAGGACCCTGGGATCATGACCTGAGCCGAAGGCAGACGCTTAACCGACTGAGCCACCCAGGCGCCCCGGAAGAGAAGTAGTTTTATGGGGTGCTTAGGAGGTAAAGTTAATGTCTGGGGAATCGTTTTGCTGTGTGGGGGAGGGGGAGAGACAAGATTGCGTACCCTGTTTGTGACTTGACAACTGGGTGGGTGGCACCATTTTCTGCGACAGGGTTTATTCCAGTGGAGCTTGGAGGGAGGGGGTCATGGCTGCACAGATTTGGGTGGCATCAACACACAGCGGGAGGAGAGTAATGGAGATAGCCCTCAGAAAATGTGTAGCATGAGAAGAGAGCTAAGGAAGAAAGTAAAGAACATACACCAAAGGGAAGGCAGGGCAAGAGAAGCCAGCTGACAGGGTGAAACCTGGAAAGTGTGGTGCGGTGAAAGCCCAGGTAAGAAGGCGAAGTGTGAGATGCTCCTGGGGAGTGATGACATCAAGAATGAGAAGTGGCCACTGGATTTGGCAGCAAGGAGCCTTGATGGTATTGGTGGGAGCAGTTCGATTGGACAGGTGAGATCAGAAGCCCCAGATGTCAGACGATGGAGGAATAATTTGGAGGAAGGAAATGGAGGCAGTGGAGGAAAGGATACAATTCTCAATAAATTTGGCCGTATTTGCAAGGAAAGAAAAATGGAGGGAGCAGAGTATATAGAATTGAGGAAACTTTTTTTTTTTTTAAAGTTTTGAGTGTTTTAATATGCTGTTAAGAAGAAGGATCAAGTGAGGCAGAAAAGTTGGAAATGCAGGAAAGTGGGAATTAGAATGGGACAAGCCCTGGAGAGCAGAAGCTGGTGGTACTGAGAGTGCGGGTGCAGAGAGTACCCTCCTGCAGGAGCCGAGTGGCTTCTGTCTTAATAGAAGGAAACAGCACTGACATTCAGCTGGTCTCCTCTGGTACGGCTCAACCAGTTGTTAGAACACTTCTGTGCCAGTTAGTACCTAGTATAGGTAAGTGCAATAAGCAGTAAACATAATTAATAAAATCTGATATGAACTTCTCAATTCAAGCTAATTAAGAGCTTGCAACAGCTATTGGTTAAAGGTTTGCAGCGGCATCTGAGACGCTTAGCAGCGGCGTCCTCTGCTGGTGGGGCAGCACCACTGCAGGCGGAGAGTGGCTTTGTACATATATGAAGCACTCTTTAAAATTGCCTGTTTAAATTATCTTTGAAGTATGGAGTTGCTACTGCTTCTAAATAGTTAGCTTCTATTTTTATTTTATTGCTAGTACATTGTCATTCTTGTGCCATTAAGTTGCAGTGTTTGAATATTTACAAATTCAAGAATTTTTAATAAAATATTAAAACCAAACTTGGGTAAAGAGAACAAAGTTTGGATATGTTTCTTAATGTGTCTTTTGAAATATCAAAGTGAAAATCACTTGATTGCTGGGGCGCCTGGGTGGCTGAGTCGTTAAGCGTCTGCTTTCGGCTCAAGTCATGATCCCAGGGTCCTGGGATCGAGCCCCGCATCGGGCTCCCTGCTCCGCGGGGAGCCTGCTTCTCCCTCTCCCACTCCCCCTGCTTGTGTTTTCTCTCTCGCTGTGTCTCTCTCTGTTAAATAAATAAATAAAATCTTTAAAAAAATCTAGTTTGTCTGATATAGGGGTTGCTACCCCTGCTTTCTTTTGATGTCCATTAGCATGATAAATGGTTCTCCGCCCCCCCCCTTTCAATCTGGAGGTGTCTTTGTGTCCAAAATGTGTCTTTTGCAGACAGCATATTGATGGGTCTTCGTTTATTCTTTTTTTTTTTCAGATTTTATTTATTTATTTGTCAGAGAGTGAGAGAGCGAGAGAGTGAGCACAAGTAGGGGGAGTGGGAGAGGGAGAAGCAGGCTCCCGCTGAGCAGGGAGCCCAATGTGGGACTCAGTCCCAGGACCCTCGGATCATGACCTGAGCTGAAGACATGTTTGACTGACTGAGCCACCCAGACGTCCCTGGTCTTGTCTTTTTTAATCCAGTTTGATACCCTATGTCTTGATTGGAGCATTTAGCCCATTTACATTCAGAGTAATTATTGAAAGATATGAATTTAGTGCCATTCTATTACTTGTAAAGTCACTATTATAGTAGATTGTTTCTTTCTGGTCTTTATTACTTTTGGGCTTTGTCTCTGCTCAAAGGATCCCCTTTACTATTTCTTGCAGGGTTGTTTTAGTGTACACAAATTCCTTTAGTTTTTGTTTGTTCTGGAAACTCTTTATCTCTCCTTTTGTTCTGAATGACAGCTTTGCTGGATAAAGTATTCTTGGCTGCATATTTTTCCCATTTAGCATAGTGAGTATATCATGCCAGTCCTTTCTGGCCTGCCAGGTCTCTGTGGATGGGTGTGCTGCCAGCCTTATGTTTCTACCCTTGTAGCTTAAGGACCTCTTGCCCCGAGCTTCTTTCAGGATTTTCTCTTTATCTCTGATATTTGCAAGCTTCACTATGATATGTGGAGGTATTGATTTTGAGGGGGGTTCTCTGTGCCTCCTGGACTTGAATACACATTTCCTTCCCCAGATTAGGGATGTTCACAGCTATAATTTGTTCAAATAAAGCTTCTGCCCCTCTCTCTCTCTTCATCTTCTGGGACCCCTATCATCTGGATATTATTTCACTTTATGGTATCACTGATTTCAGTGTCTCCCTTGGTGATCCAGTAGTTTTTTTCCTCAGCTTCCTTATTTTCCATCAATTTGTCTTTTGTATCCTGACTCTCTCTTCTGCCTCATTTATCCTAGCTGTTAGAGCCTCCATTTTTTACTCCATTTCAGTAATAGCATTTTTTTAATTTCAGCCTGATTAGACTTTAGTTCTTTTATTTCTTCAGTACTGGTTTCTCTAGTGTCTTCTATGCTTTTTAAAACCCAGCTAGTATCTTTATAATCATTGTTTTGAAAACTAGTTCTAATATCTTACTTATATCCATATTGATTAAATCCCTGGCAGTGAGTACTACCTGTTGTTCTTTCTTTTGGGGTGAGTTCCTCTGTCTCATCATTATGTTGAGAAAAGAATAGAAGAAATAAAGAGAAAAGACAAAAATAACAACAGAAAAAAAACAAACAAATCAGAAGAAAACAAAACAAAATAAGAAAAAAATCAAAGAAGAATAAAACAGAACAAAACAATAAACTAGATCCTGGGTGTATTTTGGTCTGTTTGTTAAAAGAAACTAGATCCCAAAATTGGAAAGAAAAATTTATATATATACAAAAATAAAATAAAATACAATGACAGGAAACATAAAATGAAAAAATATATAATGCATATATAAAAATAAAAATAAAATCGAGTAAAGAAAAGAATTGAAAAAATAAGAAAATAGCTGAAAAAAATAAAATTGAAAGACTAAGGAATAATAAAAAAACCCACAAATGGTATATACTGTTTCCCCCAAAGCTGAAGTTTTCCAGTTTTCTATTATCAGTAAGCCTAATGCTAGCGAGTTGTTCATGCTAGTCTTCTGGGGGAAGGGTCTGTTGTGCTGATTCTCAGGTGTCCTTGCCCTGGTGGAATTGGGCCTCCCTTGCAAAGGGGCCGGGCTTAGTGTAAGAAGCTCTGGATTCCATCATGTGGTGCTATTTTGCTCCTTGAAGGCTTTTCAGCACTGATGGTGAAGCTACAGAGAAGGTTCTTATCTCAAGGAGTTGAAGAATGAATCTCCCGGACAAAGGAGAGTGAGTAAAGTGATAGAGTTTTAAG